TTGACACACAAGAAACAATTTCATTGGTTCTCTTCAGAAGTCCACTTGATTCATATGGATGACATTTTCTTGCATTTTATTCGTTTTGAAGCATCAAAGTTTTGGACTTTCATTGGGGGTACAGAAATCTCTCAGGCTTCATTAAAAAGCTTCATTTGTGTTTTGAAGATGAACGAAAGATTTATGGATTTGGAAAGACATGAGGGTGAATAAACTGCAGAATTTTCAAAAGAATTTTCATGATTGAGTGAACTAAGCACTTAAGTTCATATAAAATGTCAATGAGAGCATAAAACCATTGACATTTAAACAGAATGTAATAATAAACTAATTAGTACATTTCAGAATGTGATTTTAAGGACAATTTTGGGTCACCACACCATGTCCAATTTAAAAACTGGGTCCTGGTGCAAAAACAGCTGAGAACCACTGTTTTAAAATGATGCAGAAGAAAATGACCTTGGTATTGCATGACAAAGCCTGAACACGAAGGAAGTCTAGTATTCAGTGCACAATACAGATGTTATCTAATAATAACCGTTGCTTTGATGTAGCCAAGAGCGAGGGGAAACTTGTTGGCACACTCTTGTGGAATCAGTATGTGCAAACCACGTTCATATCACACTCTTTGTGTGTGTGTGTGTGTGTGTGTATTGTAGAGATCAAACTAATGAGAACCTTTGGGACTCATGCTCTCCTTCTTGAGAGAGAGAGTGCGTCCCATCTTTGTACTCCCACTCAATGACACAGACTGACTCATTAATAAACCGCTACCTGAAATAAGCACGGTTTAAGCATGCTTGCTATGTGTGAATGGATTCTGCAAAAGTGTGTATGTGTGTTAGGGTGAACTATTAGACATGGTGTGTAGATGCATGTAGGGGTGAGTGTACGTGTGTGTGACATAATGTGTTCCACTAATGGGACTTATTATATAGATGAGATATCTTGGGAAATGAGTCTTTTAGTGCCCCTCATTAATACCCAACATATAGTAATCACGCAGTTCTTTCCTTTCTGTGCCCCTTCACTCTTTCTTTCTTTTTCTTTCTTTTTAAGCTCTGCTCGGTTTCACTTTTCAGAGTACATCAAGATACGCACACACACAAATGTCACCTGCGGGCACACACAACAGAAAGGTAAATTGCAGGCAATTATGCAAAGAGTAAAGGAAGTGTATGAAATGAAATATCAACAAATAATGATAAATAATTGCATATTTTTTTCTGAATGAAACCTCAGGAGCAGGAACGACAAAGAAAATGTATCTCTTCAAAGATATTTATTTTGTTTGTAATGTGACATACAATTATGCTCATAGATACATTTTTTTGCAAAAATAATTTGAAATGTGTACTGCAGCACACCTTTCCACTTTTGTGGCAAGCCTGTCTCAGATTTACTGTTTTTAAGTGTTTCAGCCTTTTCCCTTTTTTATTATTATTATTATTATTATTATTTTAATTATTTATTTTTTCTTCTTCTCTGGATTCCTTTCGATCTGGATAGTGTGAATCTTTTTATAATAATATGGACTGTAGATGGTGAAATCTACACTCCATGATTTTGCAGAAAGATGTATTATTGTTTTAAATTATATGTTTTTGAGGAACGTTGTTTTCAAAGTTTTTGCAGATTCGATCACCCGTTTTCAAGTATCTTGCACTACTATGTATAAATAGCATCTACAGTAACACTGTTTACACATAGTGCAAAGGAAATACTGCTCTTTTCACTTTTACAGTGTAAATGGCATCTATCTATCTAACGCTATTGCACTTAGTGCAAATATCATTCAGATTATGCTTTATACTAGTGTTGTCAAAAGTACTGGTATTGATACCAAGTCAATACTTAAAGGGATACTTCACCCAAAAATTGAAATGAAATCATCATTTACTCACACTTGTGTTGCTGGTCTCGGTGCAGGACTGCATGTTCATGAGACTCTATTAGCGCTGCAGTACCGACAGGAAAAACACATTTCATGATACCACTTATTGTGTGTTTTTTTAAACATTTTTATTATTATTATAAAAACGCTGCAAGAGGCATGTAAAGTTATAAGCAGATATGTATATAATAGGATATTAGGGTGTAGTCTAATAGGATATTCACTAAGAAAAAATTAAATAGGGTTGGACTGTTTTTCCATTTATCAGGAATAGATTGGATTGTCAAAAATTTATTATTATTGTCTTTTCTGTTATTTTCTTCAATGATTTTGCACAGATGTGTGTGTGTGTGTATGTTTATGTGCTTACACACACGGCTTCTGCCTTTTAACTAGAGTGTATTGAAACACTTTTAATCCGAGTCTACCCAGTAGCTGAACCCAGCAGGGCTTAGGTGGGTTTTAAAATACCACTGCCAGAACCTCCTCACAACATTTACACAAAATTTTCCAAACAGATGGGTGCTTGGCAGTGGCATAGCTCTGAAGCCAACCCTACCCGCAGGCACAGATGATGCCCACACACCTGGACACACTTGTTGTCCTGCACTCAGGAAGCAGCCATTTCCACGGCAAGCTGCTCCGACAACAAAGCTGCAAACACATGCGCCCACCACACACCAGACGATGCCTTGGGGCAGTTCCACTTCTGTTCAATTTTCCCCAGATATAAAAGTCGAGTTTTTTTTTTTTTTTTTCAATCTGGGTTTAGAATCTCTTGGAAGTGCAGAAGTGAGGTCTGTAATCTGCAGCGGGTCACACTTCTAGCCAGATTATTATTGTCTTCTCTCTTCTGTTTTGCACAGATACGTGTGTGTATGTTTATGTGCGTACACACAAGGCTCCTGCCTCTTAACTCGAGTGTACTGAAGCACTTTTAATCTGAGTCTACCTGGTAGCTAAACCCAGCAGGGCTTAGGTGGGTTTTAAAATACCACTGCCAGAACCTCCTCACAACATTTACACAACATTTTCCAAACAGATGGATGCTTGGCAGTGGCATAGCTCTGCAGCCAACCCTACCCGCAGGCACAGATGATGCCCACACACCTGGACACACTTGTTGTCCTGCACTCAGGAAGCAGCCATTTCCACGGCAAGCTGCTCCGACAACAAAGCTGCAAACACATGCGCCCACCACACACCAGACGATGCCTTGGGGCAGTTCCACTTCTGTTCAATTTTCCCCAGATATAAAAGTCGAGTTTTTTTTTTTTTTTTTCAATCTGGGTTTAGAATCTCTTGGAAGTGCAGAAGTGAGGTCTGTAATCTGCAGCGGGTCACACTTCTAGCCAAAGAGTGTTTTATTCCAGGCATCAGTTGTATTCCGATCTAAATCTGACACACCACAGCCACAGATCAGAGCGGAACGCTTCTGGTGTTTGGGTGAGGGGTGGAGGGGGGAATGAAAGATGAGAGGGAAAAAAGTTACTGTTTTGTTAACTGAAGCGCTTTGAGTTAGCGGCATGCTGTAGATGCTCTGCATCACCCACTGCTGTTTTAAGCATATGAAATACAAGGTCAAAACCCTTCAAAATGAGAATATGTGCATGTCAGTATGATGGAGGGATCCCATGAGGAGTTATCTGAATGGCACCTGCAACATGGTTATTATTGGATCAAGCTTTTAGATAGTCCAGGCTGACAATCTCTGCTCCACTCTGATGACCTGCTAAACCCAGCCTGGTATAATTTTGTGTGTGCGAGCATGTTTTTATGTGTGGGAGATAAGATGTTTTTGCCCATGTGTGCGAAGCTCTGGCATTGACCTGACACTTAATACATTAATGGACTCTTCATACTTTTTTCATTCACTGTTACATGCACTTTCTCTCCAAACATCCACACATGTATTTGATAGCGCTCTAACACTCTGACACACTGGGCCAGAAACACACACACACACACACACACATACACACACATATATATATATATATGCTCAAAACCTAGTTTTTCAATATTTAGAAAGCACGTGCTCAATAGTTGATTTTTTAATGTATTTATTTATTTATTTTATTTGATTTAATTTACATTTTTTATATATTTATTTTTATATACTGTAATTTACATTACTGTTCAGTAGTTTAGGGTTGGGAAGGTTTTTACACTCACCAAGGCTGTATTAATTTGATCATAAATACAGTAAAAACTGAAAAATTGTGAAATATTATTACTATTTGAAATAACTGCTTTCTGTTTTGTTGTGCTATAAAAATACAATTTATTCCTGTGATTGCAAAGCTACATTTTCAGCAGCCTTTACTCCAGTTTTCAGTGTCACAAAAACAATGTTGTGCTTCTTAACATTTTTGTGGAAATCGTGATACTTCGTGGTACGATTTTTGATGAATAGAAAGTTCAAAAGAACAGCATTTATTTGTAATAGAAATCTACATTAGTTTGTAACATTATAAATGTCTAGTATAATGTCACTTTTGATCAACTTGATGTGTAATTTCTTACAAATTTTTTTTTAATTCTTAGTGACCACAAATTTAGTAGTAGTAGTGTGTATGTGTATATACTGCCTATACATTATCCTGTCCTAGATTACCTTTCTTTGTTCTTTAATGCACCATTAAAAATGCACCAGCTTACAAGTGATCTTACAAATCTGTACATTTGTATAGTGGAATTTTATTTTTAAAGTATCAAATATAATACAATTTATTGATAGCACATGGTAAACACAAAATTGCTCTTTCAAACTATTTGAAAACAGAAATCCATCATCATCCATTGATCTATCAGTAGATTTTAGAATAAAGCAAGGAATAACTAACACTTCTGTTCATTTACCAAGAAGACAAAAATACTAAAATATGGAGCAATTAATCTCCCCGGTATTACATATAGGCTAAAATCTATTGCAAATTAAAATACACAGAGGACCTGAAATTCTTCACTGCCGTCTTTGAAGATGACACAAAGTTCTTGTTACATTTCTCTTTTTCTAAAATGTTATCAGTGCGATTATGAACTGTTATGACTGAGATATTTATTAATACTTTTATTCTGTTACTCTCTTTCTTGCCCCTCTCAGGCATTTTAGAGACGAAGAGGCTGGACATTGTCCACACACAAGGTCCCATCCCGCAGTCACTCAGTGGAGTTACATACTATGCAGCCGATCTACCCATATGGTGGCAAGTGCCTCAGTACATCCTCATCGGTGTCAGCGAAATCTTTGCTAGTATTGCAGGTAGGTGGTCCTTTGCAAAACACTGCTGAACACACATACAAAGCTCTCAACTTCACAAACAGAGCATATGAAGCGACCATGTTCTGAATTTTTGTAGCATTTTTTTGTAATTAATACGTTTTTTTAAAGGTTTCTTGCACCAAAAATATTGCACTGAATTTATTGTATAAAATGTTTGCTTCTGTACTTTTAAGACTGCTATATGTAAATGACCACTGTTATGATTAACCAACCTCTTCACATTTGATCCAGAAATCTGAATATGATTAAGTGTTGATATGTACAATAGACATGGACAGTCAAACCTTAATGTGTTCATGGTTGTGGTGTCAGTACAATTTCTGAATGTCTAATTTTTGCAGCAGCATGTGAACATAATTCACTGGTGTATTAAAATTGATGTCTTCCATGAAATGGCCCTTTTAACATTTAGTGGTTCATGAGGTGATACTGAGCCTGGAAAGACATTTGAGAGGCAATGGTCGTGATGAGAAACACCTACAGCACATTTGTGCTAATATTTTGATGGTAGAATTTAGTTTCTCATCAACTAAGATCCATGTAATGAATAACTCATCTGGATGAGTAAACGTACAGCATTGTTTTAACATGAGTGTCCTTTCAGCTCTCGGTCTCTTCTGTGTACTGTAGAGTTTTGTTTTGTTTTTTCCATAGGATCATTCATCTGTCCTAATGACCATGCTAATCAATGCGTGTCCTTTTAAAAACTGCAGTAAACTCCTCTCTGCCTTGCCTTTGTGTAGTAGCTCTTGTCTGAGCCGTTGCTGAAATTGCTTGCTAAGGAATCCATGGCTGTATCAATCAGGACCGATCGATCTGGGCTTGGCGATACATTATTGCAGTTGCACAGTTAAGACGGCCAGGGAAAACATCTCGCTCCTGCTGGAATACACTAAGAAAATATCAAGAAAGTCTCAAGCAAGTGGGCTTGAGATTAATGAGAAAATAGATGAAAGGAAACTAAATCCCTTAACACAGCGTTTGTAAGAAAAAACTGTGTGGACCTCCTATTACCACCTTCACTGCTGAGATCTACAGTAATTACAGCAATTTCTGTCATGATGAGAATCTTAAAGAATTTAATTCCACTTAATAAATCTGGTTTCTTAATGATTCCATCAAGAATTCGATTTTGTACTTTTGAGGAAGGACCACATAATTGCTAATTATAATAAATATTATAGTTCATTAGTCTTGTTCCAAACTCATGCCATTTGCAATAGCATTTACACTGATTTCAGTATCTCAAACCTTTGAAATATAGTTATAGTTAGTTTTTAAATATAGTTAGTTTTTTTTTTTGAGTTGTTTATGACTTTGTGGTTCAGTGAGTGTGTCAGATGTTCATTCTGTAATATTCAGTGAGTGGCTGAGTGATCCGTTTAAGGCTGATGAGTTTAAGATTCATTAGTGAGTCATTTTGACCAGTTTGTTAAAAAAAAGAACCAGTTCAGAAGAGTCATCAATTAATGAATCAAGCTACACTGGTCGCACTGTATGTTTGCTGTTGTTGTTAAAATTATGGTTAAAGGTTGTCAAATCCCAGCTCAGTTCCCTTATTCTGGTCGTTTTCTAGAGGTTTACAGGATACAGTTATGGATGGCACTTGTCTTATTTGTGTTCGCTGTATCAGCTTTATATTTACCGCTGGTTATGTGCGCACCTGTCTGTCGTCCATACACATTTTCACACAGGTTAGCATGATCTTTTCTCCCCAAACACAGCTGTGTTCATTTCGACCCTTCAGCTTCTCTTCCAAGGTCATGTTCAAATATGCTTGTTTTCCTCTTAGACACACACCACACCGGTAATTTCACACCCATTTCACGCACAGAGTAAATCAAAGGCTGCACGTCCCCCCTTTTAGCCTTTATGAGCCAACAAGACTAATAAGTAGCATTTGGCAAAGGCAGGGAAAAACACTCTCCCTTCATGCTGAATTGTAGAGAGCACAGTGCTGATTACTGGATTTCTTTTCTACCCCCTTAGAAGAGGTGTTTCAAATCAGATTTTCGCCCATGGCTTATGCTCCTTCAAATAACGGGATGTTTTTTTTTAATTGGGACAATCCTGCAAGGACTTTCAAGGTCTTTGATAGAACTATGGAACTATGGAACTATGGAAGTGGCAGCTTTCATTTTTGAAACCTCATTGCAAAGAGAATGAAAATTCAGTGTGGAAAAGTTTGAGAGAGGAGTACCAGAAAATTCAGAAGTGGTTAAAGGAAAAACAGAAGGAGGAAAAGTAGAGATACATTTACAAGTGTGATCAGTCTTGGAACTGAAGAAATCAAGAAACTTATTACAGAGGTGAGTTGAAGCAGAAACATTTGAATAACTGTTACATTTGAGTAGTTTGTTGATAGAATGAAACAATTGTCTAGGGTTATTCTGATTGTTGTCAATGATTTGTGCAAAATAAGCAGACCTAGCCGATACAATTTGAGTCTTATATTCAAGTAAGTGGTCTTTTCAGGCCTGGTGATGGACAGTCAAGCCAGATGTACACCACCTACACTCCATTGTACAACACGATGCCTTCATTGCACGCAGATTATCATAATACCAAGTAGAAGAACGTCTGAAAGAAACAGATCGTGATTTCAAAGGAGCAAACAAGTCCAGGCCAGACTAGAGAACAGAATTTAACATGAGATCTTTGTCCTCCAGTGCATCAAATGGAGAAAAAACTACTTAAAGAAGAGCCAATAAATTCAGAGAAATCAGAGGGTTCAGTAGATCTCCATTTGCGATAGTTAATAATGCAAGAAGAGGTAGTGTTTATGTCAGGCAGTTCCATATTAAAAAAGACTGCCAGATGATCAGACTGTTCTAAATCAGAGGTGGACAACTGAGACACAAATGAGGCATTTAGGATCACTAAGTCAAGAGTGTGACCTTTATTATGTGTAGGACAGTCCACGAGCTGGTTCAATTCAAAGCACTCCAATAAAGATAAAAATTGTAGAATATTTTATATCCATATGGATGTTAAATTTCAAGCACAACAAGGACAACATATCTGCAAATTCAGATAAGACATATTTATTTATCTTAGGTGGCCTGTAGACTGTAGCTATGGCAGTGGACAAGAGGCAGACACAGATGTTTAGTTTGTCATTATACAGCACAATGATACCCCCACCTCTACCAGAGGGTCGTGGGAGATCAAATAATCCATATCCAGCAGGAGTAAGTTCATGAAAAAGTAGACCATCTGACTCTTTGTGCCAGGTTTCCGTTAAACACACTAGGTCCAATTTTCCTTCTATGATAATGTCAGATTATATCACAGCCTTGTTGTTGAAATAGTGTGCATTGAAAAGCGCTGATTTCAATAGACAAGAAGGAGCAGATGAAACCAAAGCAACCTGCTCATGCTTAAGAGCCGACAAGTTGTTAAAATTAACCCTCATAGGCCTAGAGAGCAGCTTATGGTGTGTGGAGTATGTTCAACGAGAGTGATGAAAGGCTGTAAAGGACAGGTTTTACGGAAAGCCCTTATATGGAGATGGTTTGGGAGTGTTTTATGCAAATGACTAACCTGCAAATGACATGGCCACTCATTTCAAATACTCCAAATTCATTAACATTAGGACGAGGTTAAGAACAAATTCATGTGTGTTCGCACGTGTTGTGAATTAGACGGTAAGTTTTCTTGAGAAGTTCAATTGTGCGAATATATACAAATAATCTATGCAATTATTAGTGAATGAGACCCATTGTCTAATTATTTTTATCAAAATCCCTGAAAATGTCAAGATATTTTTTCGATACTGCACACCCTTTGTGTTCAGTATAAATTTTTTATTTCTTCAGGTCTTAAAAATGGTCCTAAAAAGCCTTAAATTTGAATTAAAAAATGTGCAGGAACCCTGTACAATATCTTTAACGGTAAAATAGGAAAAAATACAAGAAACAGAACTGAGTTGACCAGCAATACAACCACAAATGAAAAGACCATTGTTATTGTAAGGTTGTTGTAAGTTACACCACATGAAACAATATGAATCCATCATGAGTACATAGAGTACATTTCAAAGAACTTGGCACTGGAACATGAACTAGATTTTTCTAGACTTTCTTCTTTGGACACTCTTATTTGTCATTGACCAGGTTGCCAGTGCCAAACACGGTCTGTGTGAATGTAGCCTAAATTTAAATACATGCCTGTTTTATACTTATACCCCCATAGGACACCTCTCCCTTTGAGACTCTTGTTCTTAGAAACATTTTTCCCCTCAATGCACACATTTCATGTATATGATTCTTAACCAGAAACATCCTGCCACACAAAGTTAAATAGCAGCATTCTACCCTCTTTTTGTTAACGCAGCAGTCCACTCCAAAAGAAACAAGCAACACTTTTGTTTTCCCTTTCTCTTTCTTTTACTTTCTTGTGGGGATAGTGGCTGTCCCTAACAGTTAACATCTTCATTTCATTTTTTATCTGCGGACCCAGAAAAAATTTAAAGAAAAGAGGCACAGCGCTGGTGGAATAATATGTGTCCACAGTGGACGTAGCGGCCTCTGATTGAATTTCCAGCAGAATGGGGAGATGGGGAAGGCTAAGTGTAATCTTCCGCTCCTCCATCACGTCTCCAGGGGTTCGAGTATTGTGGAAAGCTATAAGACGCTATCTGCACAGGCACTTTTTAAACCTGAAGAGAGCCATCAAGCTATGAGAATCAATACAAGAGGCAGCCCGCCGCTTCCTGATCACAGACAGCTGTGAAATGATAGAAAAATTGGAGAGGTGCGAAGACTGCCTCAAAAATATTAAGATTAAAGCCGCTGAATAGCATGCCACCCGCTGAAATGAAGATACATTTTGCCTTTCTCATTTTCTTGAATAATCCTTTTACATCTGAACATGATTGGAAAAGATGGCCATGGCCAGAGATTGTTTGACGCAGTGCAAATCATTCTACAAACATCCGTCACATAGTACAGTGTACTTGTGCATATGATTTTGTCATGTAAATTTTAAGTATGTATCTTGAAAGAAAATTTCATCTTCTCTGAGAAGGACGCTAGCATGCTAATTCACAAGTTTATCCAGAAGCTCAGCTGCAGGACTTTTACTCGTCAGTTACGAAACAAAATATCTTGGCACTAGATTTTTTAGGGAGAAAAAACTCCTCAACTACTTCGGGCAACCAGACTGAGATTTAATGTGACTGCAACAGCAGCTAAACACAGGTTTGTCTCTGATAACTTCATGTCTGTGCGGCAGTGTGCTGACACACTTTCGTAGTCAGCTCTCTACATCTCACCCCAGGTCTCCAGTGTCCCAGCCCTCCCATGAAATGCAAATGTCTCTTGATAGCATGGAGGACCCTTAAAATAAAGCCTCACCACTCCATCCCTACCCCTGGGGAACCTCCAGGAAATTGGATGACAAGAAATGTGACAAATGTCTCTGGAAAGTTCCCTCCTCTGGCCCTATTCTGTTTAAATAAATCCTTTTTAATGGACTCTACTGCCGGCTCGCTTTGTCGTGGGCTGTTGGATGACAGCGGAAGCGGAGTTGATTCTGATTTTTCACATTTTTGTAGACACACACTTGCACTTACACACACACACTACCTGCGGGCGATGTGTGTGGACTCCAGTTGAGGGGACAGACCTAAAACCTGATTCTTTTTTTTCTCCACTGGGAATTGTAATTATATATCGTTCTTTCCGAAAAATGTTAAAGGCTAATATTTTTTCAGAGAAAGAAAAATCGCCCACTGCCTGACTCTGCGAGGGTAAAAATGAAAGCAGAACATTTCAAGTTAAACTTATTTTCTTGGTTTTGAATAATTCAGCTCTGAAGTTAGAAAAGGTCAAGTTTTATATTTTATTTTTCTTCATGCGTGATATTGTGGATGGTTGTGTCATTAGACTCTTGTTGCCATGCTCACGACATTGAGACACCTTATGGATTTCCTTTTTTCCTCTCTTTAACCCGTACGCTGTCTCTGCTACTTAACCAATGCAAGGCAAGTCTTTTGCATTAGGGTTCATTTATTAATCAATCCAATGATCTCAGGCCTTCATCACATTGCTTGACACTGTTTTGACTCCCACATGGGAGGGCAGGATTATGAGGTTGGTAGGTAGCAAGAAAGTCAGCAATGTATGGAGGAAACAATAAAAATAGTGAAAACAAACTAAAGAGGAAACATGCAAAGGTCAGGTCAAACAGGGTCAAGACTAAAATGGTTTGAACCAAGTGCCATATAAAATGTTCACATACATTAACGTTCAAAAGTTTATTGAGCAGCAAATCAGCATATTAGAATGATTTCTGAAGGATCACGTGACACTGAAAACTGGAGTAATGATGCTGTAATGATGAGTAATGATGCTGAAAATTCAGCTTTGCCATCACAAAGAATATACTGTGTGCATATATATATATATATATATATATATATATTAAAAAGTTATTTTAAATTAATATAATATTAGTGATTGTACTGTATTTTTTGACCAAATAAATGCAGCTTTCATGAGCATAGCTGATTTTTGCAGATGAGTAGGTGTTTCTGAGTGACTCTTTCTGAGTCACACCTTTAGAGTGCTACGGATGTATGGACACACACACACACATTCACATTCAGACCTGCCATAGCAATTTAATTGTTCAAATTGTTTTTGTCTGATGTCTCTGAAAAGGTTTTCTTGTTTGCTTTAGGAATGTTAACAATGTATGGAGAACTAGGAATTCCACTTTAAAATGATCATAAATCAGTTATCAATTTATTCATTCAAATGTTAAAATGTAAATAAGTCACAAACGGACAAATACATATACATGTGAACATTTCATTTAAAAAAAAACAAATTGTAATGTTAAATGTAGAAATAAAATACATGAACTAATTTTTAAAAATGAACCTTTTACATTTTATTTTTAAAAAGCTTTTAAAAAATAAACATCATTTACAGATTACTTTTCTTTTTGGTTGTATAAATGTTGCATTTAAAGTTATTCATCAAGTTATTGCTTCATTTTAACTACATTTCTAAATACATTTATATATTTGTCAGTTTAGTTTTTTTAAATTAGTGCATTTATAATAAATTTCTCCTTTTTATTTGAAAGTGGTGCTCCTGGTCCACCAAAACACAGGGTGAATTTGCTAAACATGCACATATGTTGCATATCAGGCTCTGTATGCTTACGTTTAGCGCTGCAACATGTTTATTTAAGTCATTGACTTTTTATTTTGCAAAACACTCCTTCCTTTGCAAAAGAGGCTCATTATAGATCATGTTTTATTCACAAAAGTCAGAGCTGTTTGCTTGTTGGATGATACAACAGTATAGAAAGTTTATGCAAATAAATGGCACTTTTATTCCAATTCATTCGTAGTATCCCCCTGTCTTTGTCTGCGAGCACATGCTGTTACAAATGAAACTGCTTGTCATTTTTTTAACCATGATTTTTTCCACAAGACTGTTTTTGTGTATGTGTAGCATAGAGTCCCTTGGATGCTTCTGAGTTTCTGATCATGCATTCGAAGCAAACTTCAGACTTTCCTCTCTGATTTCTGCATCATCTTCTGTTTGTAGGTCTGGAGTTTGCCTACTCCGCAGCTCCTCGCTCCATGCAGAGTGCTATAATGGGCCTGTTCTTCTTCTTCTCCGGCATCGGCTCCTTTGTGGGATCGGGACTACTTGCTATCGTCTCTCTCAAAACCATCGGCTGGATGTCCTCGCATAAAGACTTCGGTAAGACTTGTGTGAGAGAGAGCGTTAGAAGGTAGAACAAGATACGTGAATAGCACTGCACAGCATGTCTGGGATGAAACGGATGTAGCTCACCTAGTTTTTGAACAGTGTGTCTGTTTGAATGAGTGTGTGCATGAATATAAATGCAAGTGTGTGTGGGTCAGGATTTGCCTGCATTTAGGGGGACCAAATGTCCCCATAATGATTGTAAAACCTAAAATAGATGCACTGTGGGGATTTGTGAGGAAAAGGGCTTGATAAGCATACTTAATTATGACTTAATGAAAATGTAAAATGCAGAAAGGTTTGTGTAAGGGTCAGAGAGGATACAAAATATAATTTAGCTCAGTATAAACAATAAAAGTCATATTCCAGCAGCTTGGGTCTCTAAGATACACAACTTTGATTTCATCGTCATTCATAAAACCAATGATGTTAAAATATCCTGAAAATCAATGACTTGTATGTTCCATCTTGATGAATGAAATCGATGATGAAAGATGGTCCCTGATCAGCATTCTGTTTAAATGCAATGTATTGTAATTATGCCAAAGGAGAGGTCGTACCTTTCAGTTCTCGGGTCGTGTCAGAGATGAAGTGACGAGGTGAGCACATGTGCTTGATGGATGATGTGTGTTTTATGTGTGCGTGTGCACATACGACGGCTTGAGTGTAGTCGTCTCTAACTAAACCTAGGAGGTGATTGCCCATTTGGCCACTGTTTATGTCTGAGTGTGTATCCTGCCCAATAAACTGTCATATTTTGTTGGCCAAAAATGGACCCAAAATGGACCCCTGATTTCTTAAATAAATGTCCCGACTCCCTAGTCTAACTGTTCATCAATTGTCAATACATGCTGTTATTTTGTAGAAAAATGGTTGTTTTCACACACTTTCATCAAAGTGTAATAACTCTACAGTACCTCCTAAAGGCAAAAAATAAATATCAACCAATAATATCACAGCCTATATTTCACCCCCACCCACTTTTCAGGATCCAATCAAATCCAGATGAAGTAAATCAAGTTCTGTCCTACATTTTCTGCTGAATAGTGTTTTTCTTATAAATGTGCCACATTCTGTTACTCGTGTTGGCAGTTTCATGTTGTCTGGAGTAAAGTAAACTTTTGAAGTGTCAGGAGAAAGAAGCCGTACCTGAGTGCCAGGTCTCGTATTATGAATGCACATGCTAATTAATGGTCATGTCAGGCTTACGCCAAAATCGGTGTGTAAATCTGTCGCAGCGGGGACGATGAATAGCACAAAGGAGACAGTAGATGGATGTGATTGCCATTGCAATGACAGCTCAATGGTCCAGATGTACTCCCACCCATTCTGTGCATCTGAGGCAAATGAACAGTTTACGCACAAACTACTTCAGCACCCATTAATACAGCACACCAAGACAGGTGTGAGGCATTTCTGCTAATGGCAGCAGTGAGAGTACATGTACTTTAAATCTGTCCCTCTTTGCTCTGTTTGTTTGGCAAGCATCATTGGGATATTAGAGTGGGTCTTAATATGAATTATATGACACATTGCTTTTTCCCCCTCCACTTTTAGTGATAGAAGAGAGAGGGCAGGAAATGAGAAGTTGAAGAAATAAAATTTACTCTGAAGGACAAGTCAGACTCGAACCCTGTAATGTTCATATGAGCACCACATGCTTTAATATGTGCTTTAAGGGGGTCATATGATGCTATTTCAATTTTTCCTTTCTCTTTGGAGTGTTACAAGCTCTTGGTGCATAAAGAAGATCTGTAAAGTTGCAAAGACTAAAGTCTCAAATCCAAAGAGATATTCTTTATAAAAGTTAAGAGTCAACCACGCCTACCTAAAACGGCTCGTTCTAACACGCCCCCACATACCTACGTCAC